ATGTCTTATGTGAAAAATAATAGCCTAGTGTTGAGATCACATCAATTTCTACTTTGCAATTGAACTGCGAGATGTATATTCTATGCTAAAAGTTTTTCTTCTCACTTGTGGCACTCCCTTCTGTCTCCATGTTTTCCAGCCAACTTTAATCTGCAAAAGTTTAAAAGCAATGTCAATCACTATCTACTGTCCTTCTGATTACTCTTTCTTCTTCCTACTCATTATTAATGTTTCTGTCCCTAATTCTTCCACATGACATAACCCCTTGTGTCTTAGTGGCTTTACTGCCTTGCATGGGGTGATACTGATTTAAAAAAATAAAGAAGCTAATACATATTAAAATAAAAGTTAATTTCCATATGTAATTAAAGATTTTAGGCATTATTAATTAATTAGTTGGATTTTGTTTGTTGCAAATGTAATGTTTACTTTTTTACTAAAAAGAAACCTAATAAAAATAACATTTATTTATGCCAGTGGATTCAAAGGTTAAACACAAAAACTGTATTATGACATTGATTCTATGAAATATATGCATATATTATGAATTATGATGATTAATTAAGATTAAACAAATGAAGAGAAAAAATTAAAGTATGAACTTATTGCTCCAAGTGGGGGAGTACTTTTTTAAAAAAATATCATCTTCTTTCCAGATGTAGGCAAACATGGCTTCTCCAAAATTTTGTTTTCTTTATCATTATTAAATTACCATGTATTGTTGGGAAAGATAATGTCCCCAGAAAGCAGCCGGAAATGTTGTTTCCCTCTCTGTCATTGGGAATTCAAAATTTTCCTTCCATTAGACTGGTTGTCACTCAAGGTTAGAAAAATATTTAAACCCTTAGTTGGGAGAAGATATGATGGATTCTACATTAAGAGCATTTGTGCAAAAGTGCATGCAATAGACTGGAATTTGAATTTGACTTACCAATTCCACTTTCCGTGCTGATATCAATTATACATGCAATACATGTCTGTCTTAAAATATAAAATGGGCTAATATATCTTAAAATCCTCATTTGAAATGTTGTCTACTTGTATTCCAACCAATAATGGCAGTAGAAGATAACAAAGGCAATTTGCAAAGTCTTTACAAAATTTAGCTTTGCTCTATGTTAAGAGTTAAAAAGAATAGTTTCCTAAATCATTTTCCCGGAATTTGTTGAAAATCAAAAAGGAACTATTATGACGGATTTTTTTGGTGAGTATTTAGTATCCTTGTAATTTTTAATTGTTTCTCATCAAAGTTTTTAATGGAGTCACTCAGTCTAATGGCTATGAACAGATAACATGGATTGGAAATAAAGGATAAGTTCATGTTTTGATTTGTACTCTCTATTCATTTCTGACCCCATGCTGTATACTCATTTCTGACCCCATGCTGTGTACTAATGTCTGACACCATGCTGTGTACTAATGTCTGACACCATGCTGTATACTCATTTCTGACCCCAGGCCATGTACTGATTTCTGACCCCATGCTGTATACTCAATTCTGACCCTATGCTGTATAAACATGTCTGACCCCATGCTGTATACTCATGTCTGACCCCATGTTGTATACTCATTCCTGACCCCATGCTGTGTACTAATGTCTGACCCCAGGCCATGTACTGATTTCTGGCCCTATGCTGTATACTCATGTCATGTCTCATACTCATGTCTGACCCCATGCTGTATACTCATTTCTGATCCTATGCTGTGTACTCATTTCTGACCTGTGCAGTTTACTCAGTTCTTCTCCACTTACTCTCAACTCATTTCTTACTCTCTGACTATGGTCCAATTTGCAATAAAAAAATCAAAATTAAAATGAAATTAAATATTTGTTAAAAAATATAATAATGATTAACAATGATTCACTTAATAAAAATAGATTTAATGTACTATTAGCATTAAAATTAACTTTTAAATTTAAATTTTTTATTTTACTTTTTAAATTAATTTTTGACTAAAAAAGAAATCTGTCAATGATTGTGAAAGCAAATGATGGTTTTCAAAGGCAAAACATCCAGATTAGCAATGAAAGAAGCAGTTGGGGCTATGCCAGGCTTTCTTGAGACTCAAGGAATGTGGTTTAAAATCTCACCAACAATTTTATTTCTGCATCCATACTGTCTGCTCATTGCAATAGAATTTAACAGCTTGAGTAAAGTTGGGATAAAAAGAAAACACAAAATTGTGAAAAAACAAAATGATGAAAATAAATACAAATAAAATGATAATATTGATTGAAATAAGATTTCATTTTTGTTCATTTTAGAAAAATACAAAAATGATAGGATTGGTAATTTTGGTAAGTCTTTTTCGGATGAGAGTGTAGTATCTGTGTGCTCTGGGAACAAAAATTTTCATTATATATATAAGTGTATATATATATATATATATATATATATATATAGATAGATAGATAGATAGATAGATAGATAATATTAGTGGTAAATATACACATACATATGCAAAATATATAAATATATATACATACATGCATACACATACATATATATTTTTTGAATAAAATATTCCAAGAGGATAGAATCCAGGTAGAACTCAATGTCCAGGACAGAGTAAGGATATAATAAAAAGGCTTAAACACTAATATTCCATGGTCATAATTTATTCCATTGGAATTGTAAATACGATCCAATTCATCAGATCTACAAATTCAAAAAGAAAACAGAAAAAATATTATATACACATATATGTGTATATATATGTAGGAGTGGATGTTTATGGATGTATGTGTATATGTATGTATGTGTGTGTGTATTTATGTATGTATATGTATACATGTACGTGTATGTATGTGTATGTATATGTATGTGTATGTATGTATGTATATGTATATGAGAATATATATATGTATATGTATGTATATATATATATATATATATATATATATATAAATATATATGGATATATGTGTATGTGTGTACATGGGTACACGCCTATATGTATGTATGTACGTGTATATGTTATTGTGTATGTGTGTATACACATGTGTTTTTGAACATAAAAATATAGGTCCTTGCTAGATTAGATAATCATTATATTTATTTTTTATATGTTTATATTTGATTTGTAACCTGTAGTTGATATTAATTTTGTCAAATTTTCCTAATTACACAGCGAGCGACCCTTTTAATAAATGCCCTTCAGTTTTAGTTTCCCCTGCCCCATCTCTCTCCCCCACCCCTTTTATCTTTTCTTTTCTTTTCTTTTCCTCTCCATCCCTCTTCTTCTGATCTTTAAGATTAGATCATCTATTGTGTGTGTATGTCACCACAAAATGTATCCTTTCTGGTTACATCTTTAATGTATTAGACATCCACCAACATTCATATTTCTCTCACTTACACCGTCTTTGACTCACCTCTCTAAAACTTCTCTCTGTTAAGTTTTAATCCCCCACCTTCTCTCGTCTGTTACCCCTCTCTTTAGCTCTAATATTCGTCCCACACTCTTATACTTACACTCTCTCTAAATTCTATTTTTTATTTCCAGAGTTGTTTTTTCTGTTTTCTTTTTGAATTTGTAGGTCTGATGAATTGGATCGTATTTACGATTCCAATGGAATAAATTATGACCATGGAATATTAGTGTTTAAGCCTTTTTATTATATATATATATATATATATATATATATATATTTACTGTAGATGACCTTGCAATCTATATATATATATATGCATAACTGAACAGTGAGTTTAACACTGAGAAGCAACAGTTTGTTTCATGCTTGAATAAAATTTTCAGTTTTGAATTTTCAACATGAGGCATTTACCTCAGTTTTAACCATAAATATAACACACCTTAAAATTATATTTTTATCATGATATATATATATATATATATATATATATATATATATATATATATATACATATATATATATATATATAGTCAACAATGAAATTATTCATACATCCATCAATTTTGAATATTTTTTATCAATTACTCAGAATCTAATGCTCATATGATGCCAGGTTTTTATATGTTAATAAGCACAAAAAATGAATATAAAACTCAATTTTCATTGCAACAGGTTAAATACAACAAATGTGACAAGTGAATTATACAAAATTGGAAAAGACAAAATTATTTGTACAGTAAAAACACAAAAAAATTTCACAATATTAATCCTCAATAGCATGGCCTTTCATCTTTATACTTTGCTGCAATCATTTTATAAAGTTTTTTCTGTGATTTTCTTTCATTCTTCAATGGTTACATGTTCTAATTCCTGAAGGTGTTTTGGTGACCTATGATTTATTCAAACTTTCAATTCTTGCCATAGATTTTCAATAGAATTCAAATCTAGACTCATTGAAATCCATGGGAGAACTGTAACTTCTTCATATATATATATATATATATATATATATATATATATATATACAACTCTCCTGTCGAGATTCGACGTATGAGGGTCAAGCAGATCAATTTCCAGGAAACCGACAGCCCAACACTGGCACATGAGATTTGATTATAGTGGTGAAGGCTTCAAAGGGACCATCCACACTTTTTGAAGGGACGAATACAGAGACCTGGTGCATTGAGTGCCACAAGGTTCCCAAATGACCCTCTGCAGGTTTTGAATTCAGAGTTGACCTTCTCCTAGACCAGTTGTTATCCAAGGCTATAGAACCCAGTCTATCCTGCTATTTTACCCATAGCTGGAGGGAGAGGAAGAGGATTCATACCTTTCCCAAGGGTATTAGCACGTAAGTGAATGTAATGGATTCGACTGGAATTCGAACTTGGCTCTGTGATTCCTCAATCCAAGCCGCTATCCATTACTCCACTGTGCCTCCTTTTATATATATATATATATATATATATATATATATATATATATATATATATATATATATATATATATATATATATATATATATATATATTTATATATACTTTATCTCCCTAAATTGTACAAATGTATTATGGGATTTCTAGTAGTTCTTATTGTTTCTTTTTGATCTTTTGGTAATTATTACCTTAAAAACAATGGTTCCAGTTGGAGCGGCCTCTGATATTGATGTGGTAAAATTACTTCTTGCAAATTCCAGTGGTTTTATAAGGGAAAGTGACACAAGTACTGAGGTCGAGCTGTTTTTTACTGAAGCAAAAAGAAAAAAGAAATTAGTGCCTATATTTTTTTGTATGCTAGCACACAAGTCTATTTTTAGCCTACCAGTCCACATGTATGGACTATAACAATATAAAATAATACTTTAAGCAAATATGATTCCAATATTTTGATAATTTTAAAGCCAGGATTGAGAAAAAGAATGAGAATGACTTGAACCAAAGGAATTAATAAATTTGATTTCTTTTAGAGAATATTTTTTAATGAAAAATCCAGGATTTTTTTTTCTTAAAAAATGAAACAAATAATTGTAAAAAAATAAATAAATAACTTGGATTTATTTATAGTGTTATATACTTGTATATTATCTCAGTGTGTGGCTGAACCTATAAACTTCCTTATGAAGTATTGGGCCAAAGCTTGACTCTGGGAGTTTTTCAGCCACAACCACTTTTGAGTATTGGGTGATGCTGCTATGGTTTCAGTAGGAAAGATGTTTTATGAGTTGAATTCAAAGTTGTTCTCCTAGACTAGTTGGCAACTATGGCTAGAGGACCCAGTCTGCCGTACACTTTAATCCACAACTGGGGTGGAGAAGAGATACATTTACCCAACAATATTTGAGGTATTAAAGTTAACCAATCAATTCCAGCCCCAGTCCACAACTGATTGGAGGTCCTTTTCGGGCTTCTTACTAAATTACTTTTCCTATTGAAATTTTTTATTATTTAGCATTAAGTAAAATTTTAAGTAATTTATAAGAAATCATTTTTGTTTACGTAACTTTGGTTGAGTCAAGTGAAAAATTAATTAAATGAACAAACACCGATGGCATAGAAAATCTGAGAGGTGCAGGAGACAGTGGTAGAATGGCTAGAAATTTAGACTATGTTTAATCAGTGAATCATCCATACACAATATAAGCAGTTATGAAAAAATAAACAAAAATAAAAAAATTTTTATAAACAATCATGAATAAATCTCTTATTTAGCGTTAGGTGCGGAGAACTTGCATTAAAGTTGAAAACATAAACTCACGGTCAGTAGCAGTGGCCATAAGTGTGATAGAATCCTCTTTTGTTTTCCAATCAAGGTTTCTTGTCAGAACAATTGTCCCTTTTGGATGAATCTTAAAGTGAGAATCCCCTTTGAGACTGTACACTATATGATCTTGCGGATCATCATCATTTGCTGACACCTAGAAAAAGGCATAAACATAATTAATTAGAAACTAGATTAGTAATTTTGTTTTTAATTCTAATATAATTAGTTCATCAAGCCTCCTACTGGGATCAACATTGATCAATACAGGCAGATGTAAAGAAAATCTCTTATACATATTACATTTTATTCAACTCAAGAGTTTATCAGTTACTGTTGGCCAGGGAGCAGATTTCTTTTGCCAATCATATATATATATATATATATATATATATATATATATATATATATATATATATATATACTATACAGTAGGAATTAAGATTACATTAGGTTAATGATCGTTTTCACCTTGTAAATTGAAGTAAAATTTACAAGGATTTTTCAAACCAGTCAATGGATGATAAATTGCTTTTTTTTCAATAATTTATCATCCACTGACTTGTCTGAAAAATCCAAGTAAATTTTATTTCAATTTACAAGGTGAAAATGATCATTAACCCAATGTAATCTTAATTCCTAAAAATAAAATATAAAATATGTTGCTGTGTTTAATTAAAACATTGAGCTCTATGTATGAATCAGTTTTCATATTTAATATTTTACAATATATTGCACATATAGTGCTAGAGTTAATAAAACAGTGCTCAATGTCATACAATGGAACTATTAAGTATATATATTAATAAATATACATATTACCTCTCACTGATAACTTAACTTGGAGTTTCATGCACAATGCAGTCTTCAGGTGCTCAGTATATACTCAGATTCATGCTATCAATGAGGGATAATATATATATATATATATATATATATATATATATATATACACACACAGAGAAAGTGAGCCTGCTGCAGGTGCTGAGATAGTTATATGTGTCAGACAATTTTCAAGTCCAGATAAAAGCCAGGATTTTAAATGCTGATTTTTTTATGCATTTTCATAACTTAAGTTTTCCTTCAGTTATGGCCTTGAACCAGTCTTTGATAATTATCCATATTACCGAACCATGAATGACGTCAAATATACTCTACCTGGGTAACTGTTGCTCCATTTTTGAAATCTGTGAGGTTTACTTTGTATTCATTTTGAGAAAACTGAGGATTATGGTCATTTACATCGATCACATTAATTGTTACCATTATATTTGCTTTGTGAATTTTGTCTGTAACTTCGACAAGAATGTTGTATTGGTTGTTCTTCTCAAAGTCAAACACAGTTTGACTTTTTAGCTCACCAGTTGTAGAATTGACAGAAAAATCTGGAAAATATGAAAAAGTTATTATTATAATTATTATTTTATTTCTTTTGATTTCTGGTATGTACTCATTTCTTTCTGGGTCCCGACCAGAGACCTAAGGTCAAAAATGGCATCATGTCATTTTTCACAGATCAATTTTGAAAAAAAATCTCACATATTTTACATAGACAAAGCCCTTTGTAAGGTGTGGGCTGTACTCATGAGAACAATTATTTTGTATTTCTTTTAGGCATGGGCTACCTGGAATCACTTCAATGAATCTATTGGAATCTTTTCCAATCAATCCGAAGGATCCAACTACAACTGGAATTGTTAATGTCCTTGTGCACCACATTATTATTATTATTATTATTATTATTATTTCATTTCCTTTGATTTCTGGTGTATATTCATTTGTTTCCGGGTCCCGATCAGAGACCTAAGGTCAGAGATGACATCATGACATTTCCCACTGAGGATTTTTTGAGGGGGAAAAACCCAAGATCACACCTATTTTACATAGATAAAGTCTTTTGTAAGGTGTGGGTTGTACTTGTGAGTACATTTCTTGTGTTTCTTTAACCCTAGAACACTAACCATGGGTATATAGTACCCAGCGCAATAATATGTTTTTCAGTTCCTATTAATGTTAACTCAAAGTACAAAGTTTGAAGTGCTTGCATGTAAAATATTTCAAATAAAGATTTATATTTAATTTTTTTTTTGATATTTCCAAATTTGGGGATCATATACCCATCCTTAGTAGTGGTGTAACTTTAATTGATGGTTACTGTTCTAGCGTTAAGGCTTAGGCTACCAAGAATCCCTTCAACAAGTCTATTGGAATCTTTTCCAATCATTCCAAGGGCTCCAATTATTATTATTATTATTATCATCATCATCATCATCATCATCGTCGTCATCATCATCATTATTATTTCCCTCTTAAATATTTACAAAAACATCTACTTTATTAATTTACTTAATTACTTTATTCCGTTTTTCCCCCATAAATACTAATTAAATATTTCCTACCACCCATGATACACCCTTAATTTATCCATAGAAATTCTGGAAAATTAATCTTGTTTAAGAAGGGTCTGTAATGTAATCAATCCTGACCTAGCTTTTCGATTTCAGTCACTTTCTCACCAACATGATGTGACTTCCCTTTGTCCTTTCTACAAATATTTTCATGGCAATTGTTCTGATGAGCATTCATACTTGGTGCATTGACAGCATGAAGTAAAGCATGCTACTAGATTAGCAACTAGGATCTCACAGTTTTTGCCGTTGCAAGATGCAATTCTATTCTAACAGATTCTTCTTTTTCACTTGTTGGTTTTGCAACTCACTTTTTTGTTTGGTTACTGAATAGAAAATTGTGAATATGCTTTTTATCTGGTTATGTTAGTAAAAACAAATATTTGATTCCAGTAAAACTGATTCCAACAGCTGAAGAATAAAATGAAGCAACTAAAAAAAATTTAATTGAAAACAAAAAAATGAATGCACCTAAAAGAAACAACTGTTTAGCATTGTACAGTCATGCGTGTGTAGCGGACTTCACCACATTTATTTAACTTAGATTAGGAAACCAAACTGACATGAAGAAAAAGAGGATAAGCCAAATAAAATTTGTATTTAACAAGATGTACAAACAAGGATGTGAAAGAAAAGCATGCATTGAGTAAAACAACAGTTGTCTCTCTTTAATTATTATTTGTTTTCCAAAGTTCACTGAAAGAAAGAAGGTTGTGATAGTTTCTGGTAATAAATGTTTGCAACAGTTTTGTTGTGTAAGGAAAAAGATTATGTGAGTGTAGGGAATATTCAGCATGTGAGTGAGAAGATTGGCGCACGATTTCAACTGTTGTGGATTCATTTGGCAGCTGAAATCTCACTCATTTACTAAGAATTTTCTTTGCTTATATAGGTGATCATTGGCTCCGAATCGTTTCACAAGAAGAATTGTTCTTCACATGCTGATTGGTTGTCATTAACCAATCAGTGAGCAAGTTTTGGGGAGACTCAAGAAAGCTTCTGCGATCTGTTTCTCCCAAAGGTGCACAAAATCGACTACATGAAAATATAGCAATTATAAAATTGTCCATTACACAGTAGTGTTGATTTATTATCCAATGAATGCTTCTTGTATAATTGAATTTGTGTATGTATGTATGTGTGTGATGATGATCATCACAAGTGTTCCAATATGTGATGCAATACATGTTCCAATACGTGTTTTAGTACATGTTCCAATACGTGTTCCAATACATGTTCCAATACGTGTTCTAATACATGTTCAAGTACATGTTCCAATACGTGTTCCAATACATGTTTTATATCTTTCTGATATGAAACCCTTTCACTATTTTGAAGTTTTATTTTGTATCAACAAGTTACCTGTGAAAAAGATTAAAGTGTCAAGTGACTCTTATATTGGACCTGCCATAATGTTTGTTTGGTTTATTAACTGAATTTTCTATTCAATAAACAAACATTTTGGACAACCCAATATATAAGTAAGCATCTTCAGGTTTTGCTAGCTATTGTCGATTATCAGTTATCTCCCTTGAACTATTTCTATAAAAAGAACTCTTCAGTGAGAATGAGTTTTAGGTTGTTTAATGTTCGAGTTCATTAGATTAACTTATGCACAAATACCCTCCATATGACTCCATTACTTCTCCTCCCAGCTATGGGTTGGATAGTAGAACAGACTAGGTTCTTTAGCTTTGGTTGATAACCAGTCTACCACAGAAAAAATGGCAACCTACTGCTGGAAAAATCTTCTGCGTCTCAAGATGACAACTCAACAGGCTTTAAAATCACCACCACCGTTGATGAACAAAGAGAATTATGTTGAATGGAAAAATGATTTAACAATATAGCAGATGTACATGGACTGAAATAAATGTAAACAAGGTCAGGCAATTTTTCTCAGGCTAACTGGACAAGCAAGAGATTGTGTTAGGAACTTGCAACCTCAGGAAATTTGGTCAGGAAAATGGAGTCAAGATAATAATAGACAAACTGGACACATTTTTTTTAAAAGATGAAAAAACACCCAGGCTTATTTAGCGTTTAAAGAATTTTATGATTACAGACACCCTTCCAGCATAAGTATGACAGACTTTTTCATTCAATTTGAATACCTGTCTGTATTACAAACTGGATAATTTTAGAGGTAATTTATGAGAGAATGTGTGTGCCCTCTACAAAACACTTCTCAAGAGATTCTAAACATTGTTGACAAAATACAAGAAATGGGCAAAGGAAAAAAACATATTCTGCTAACCTTATCGCACAGATTTCCATGCTTCCTGGTTAGTTCAAGAGTCTTTTGGAAAGTGCATATTGGACAGTGCATAAATGAAAGCTGTCACTGGTAAAACATGGCTGGATGTTTTTACTGATGCTTTGTCAGAAAAAGACAAATATGTTGTTGAATGCTTTTCGACTGAGACAACATTCAAGTTTGGAGATGGAGCTGAGGTTACTGCAACTAGGAAAGTGAAATTTCTGGCAGTTTTTGGCAGAAAAATGCTAATGATTAAGTCCTAAGTAGTGAATAATGAAATTCCATTGTTATTGAGTAAAGCCACAATGAAGAAAGCTGGAATTATTTTAAATTTTGTGAATGACACAGCAATGCTTCTGGGTAATACGATAGATTTGGTTTGCACCTCGTTACCTGTATTCCACTTACAAATTTGTTATTTGACAAGCGGGGTGAATTGAAAGTGTCACTGGTATTGTACACCATTTCTGTAAAAACCTTAACACCCAAAGAGAAAAGAAAAAAAGCAATGAAGCTACACAGACAATTTTCATATGCCTCAAAAAAAAAGTTGTGTAGACTTGTGAAAGGGAGTAAAAGATTTTAATGATGCTGAATTCCTTAAGTTAATTGAAAAATATTGCATTTCATATGAAGTAGGCATGAAATATAAACATGTACCTTTATGTCCAGTTGTAGCTTTGCCCATAGCTGATAAATTTGTGTGTATGGACTTAAAGAAACATATTCACAACAAAACTTGGATTTTGCATATGATTGATTCTGCCACAAGATATCCTGCAGTCTGTTTAGTGTTTTCTAAACAACAAGATGAAATTGTGCAAAACATTTACCAGATGAAGATAGCTTATTTTGGTGCACCTAGAAAATTCTTGAGTCATAAAGGAGGAGAATTTTCAAATGAAAGATACAAGAAAATGAATGATAAACTAAATATAGAAACTGTAATGACAGCAGGTGAATTACCATTTAACAATGAGATTGTGAAACAGCATAAATCAGATATTGGCAGAGACATTTTACAAGACTATTGCAAATGTGAAATGTGAACCAAAAATTGCACTTGCATGAGTAGTAAGTGCCAAGAACACATTACAAAATAATTGGCGGTTTTAGTCCAAACCAAATAGTATTTGGAGTTAACCCTAACCTTCTGTAAACGCTAAAGGATGAACTTCCAGCTATGGAACATTGATCTAGTGATATTACATGTCAGAACATGGAAGATTTACACAGTGCCAGACAAAATTATATTGCAGCAGCCGAGTGAAAAGATCAGGAAAGTGTTCAAACATAAGGTGTACACTTATTCAGATGTTGTGTATGATAATGGTGATAAAGTTTATTATTACAGAAAAAATTTTAAAGGCTGGAAAGGTCCTGCAATTGTGCTTGGGAAAAAAGGACAAACTGTATTGGTTTGCCATCGAGGAGCTTACTATCATGTTCATCCCCATCAATTATTGAAAATAAAAGATTGTAGTAATATGCACCAGGCTGAAAAGAATATATGAGTAGAGATGAAGAACTAACTATGAATATTATTGATGTAGATGAGAAGGAGTATGATACTCATGAATATTTTATGCCACATGAAACAAAGTCCCAGAAAGAAGCTATGTCTGATAGGAAAACTCACCTCTGGATGTAAGAAATAGCATAAAACCAAAAAGATATTCTTTTATCACATACAAGATGAGGAATGAAGCAATATGGAGGCAAGCCAAAGTATTAAGTATACAGTCTAAACAAAATGGAAAATATAAGGAATGGGTGAATGTTTATATGGTGGGGGATGAAGAACAAAGATGTGTTAAGTGGAATCATATTGATAATTGAAAGGGACTACCTTATCCAGAAAATATTGTACTGTGAACTGTGGATCAAGAAATGTCCCAAGATGTTGTGGATGCGAAGGGAGAGCGAGCTGAATAACTTGATTGATAATAATGTGTTTGAAGTTGTTCCTTTTGAAAAACAGACTACACTATTTTCATGCTGGATAATGTCTGAAAAATATAAAGATGGCAAAAAGAAAACTAAACAGTTTCTTCTCTCACACTTCACATTTGTGGAACTCCCTTTCAGCTCCTTGCTTTCTAGCCAACTTTAATTTGCAAAAATTTAAATACAATGTCAATTGCTATCTACCATCCTCTTGATTACTCTTTTCTCTTTCTGTTCATCATTAATGTTTTTTTTGTTTTTAGTTCTTCCCTTTTGTGCTAGTGACTGTACTGCATTGCATAGGATGATACTAATTTATATATATATATATATATATATATATATATATATATATAAATTGGACATAAAAATAGCTATAACTGCTATATTTATCGATAAAGAAAACATCACTACATTACTCAAAAATCGAAAACCAAATGGAATAAATAAAAATATACAAAATAAAAAATAAGTAAATAAAAAACTAATAAAAATTAATCCCAATACATAAATAAATGAACAAATTTACAAACCAGTAGTACTAATAAAAATAAGCATAGATAAACAAGTAAAAATAATCAATCCAAATAAATAGATTAAAAACTGTCCAATTGGCAAAATAACAGAATAGACTACGGCAACCAATCTAAACATTTGACGAATAAATAGCTTTAATTATCTTCCCGGACAAAAACAAGCTATTAAATAAATGACCTAAGCAAATCTCCACCAAAATTTTTTTCTACGTTAATAAAACATCAAAAAATCAAAAGAATAAATAATACAAAATGAAAATGAAATTCAAGTAAAATAAATTAACTCAAACAAACAAATAAATAAACCAGCCATTCCTGTAAAAATAACTTCCAGAATAGATTACCCACAATGCACCACTGACCCATATATATATAAATAGTGGAGGAAAAAAACAGCATTCATGGCCTGATGATTGCGTCCAGCATGAAACAGCCTGTTGCCTCTGAGTGTTGACTTCAATGTTCACTTTTATATATATATATATATATATATATATATATATTGAGATTCTTGACAAAATTCAAAGAAATATCTGTCATGTAATTGATCCTGACTTGGCATTATAACTTCAGTCACTTTCTCATCAACATGTTGTGGCTTCCTTTGTCTTTTCTACAAATATTTTGATGGTAATTTTTCTGATTTGCTTTTGTTGATGCCTTGACTGCATGAATTTAAGCAGACTACTACATTGGTAAGTAGGATTCATCATTCTCCTGTTGAACTAGATTAGATGCAACCATATATTCTATTCTAATAATTTCTTTTCTCACATTTCTCATCTGTCTACTGGTTTCTTGCTTCCCTGCCAATTACAATTATCAAAGATTTAAATGCAACATCAATCGCCATTTGTCTTCCTCAATCATATCCCTTTATTGTCTTTTCTCCTCACTAAACACTCCTAGTAACCGTTTGCATCTTAGTGTTATGACTACCTTTCTTGGGGAAAAATTATGAAGAAAAAAAAATAAAAAAATGTCACAACATGTGAGAGAGAGAGAGAGAGAGAGAGAGAGAGAGATGTGTTACCTGTACTGTTTGTTGAATAAATTAAGTCATCTCCGTCAGGGTCTGAAACGTGTATGCATCCAACTAAGGTTCCTTTTGGTTGTCCTTCCAAAATAGAGAAAGTAAATCTGCCATTAACAGTTGGAGCCTTGTTGTTCATGTTTTTCACCAAAATGATAACGTCAGTTGAACTGTCAAATAAAAATAAAATGCTATTTATAGCTCATCAATATCATGGTTTTTACAAGTGAAAATGAAAAAAATTTTTTTTAGTCTGATTTGAAATGAAATTTTCAAATTCACTGATATTCTTTTTAGCTTCATTCAGTGAGAAAGCAAATTACAAACCCAACAGAAGTTTATATGTTTCCTTTGTCACTTTTGGAAAAATATTGCCTTCAAAATAATAGAAAACATGATTTTAATCCTGAATTATGAGGTGTGATGTAATGGAATAACCTGCTAGCCCCATGAGTAATTACACTATAGGTAGTAACTGCCTATAAGTATCTGTAAGTCAATGGACTACAGAGACTAGCTGCGACCTGTTCCAGTTAAACAGTCGAACCCAGATGAGGCTCCAGATGAGGGCAGAGTCTTGTTTGGGGAGGTAGACTGACCCTGAACCTGTTTATGCGGGTTCAAAAAGGGAATATTTTTGGCCAAGCCTACGGGCTCGGAGAACCCACGCTAAACCGACCTTGTGCCACATGCAACCCTCGTGGGGTGGGGGGTAGCTAAATATACTAGCTGCGACCTGTTTCAGCTAAACTGTTGAACTCTCTGCCTTTGGGCAGAGAGGAACCCAGACGAGGCTCTGCCAAAGGGCAGAGTCTTTTTAGCAGAGCAACAGGCTCAGAGAAACCACGTTAAACCGGCCTTGTGCCACATGCAACCCTCGTGATTATAGTTACCAAGAGGGCAGAGTTGGGTGGTGCTACAGGACTCAGGGATGGAGGTAAAACACAGATCGAGAAGAGAGGCTTTACCTTCCCGGTTGAAGGCAAAACAAGTGGGGAAGTTAACTATCTGCATGAGGGATTGAGAGACTGAAAAATTGAGTGTTTGAATGCCTGCATGGTCAGTAGTAGCATTCTTAAGCCACATGGTATGATGGGCGTTAAAGTCGCCAAACACAAATATGTGAGCAAACGGGTGGAGGGAGAGAACCTTGTCTATGCTGTCAGAAATGCTATCGAGTATCCCACAGTCTTGGAAGGAAGAAATGATAGCTTACTGCATTGAGAAGAGATAGTCAGAGACACATGTGTGACTGGTCTGGTGATTTGAGAGAGAACTCTCTGGCCAGAGGGAGATGGTCCTTGACATAGACACCAAGACCGTGCATGTGGGTTAGAGAGTCTTTTCTGAGGAGAGGAAGGTAGCCTGGGATTGAGAGATCAGAGGAGGGGATAGACGAGACAAGGTTGGTCTCACAGAAAGCCAGTATATCTGGGCAATTTGCAGCGAGGAAAGATTCCATACTGCAGAAGTTTGTTCTAATGCCATGGATGTTGGAGAACAAAATGTTGAGGGGTTTAGGTGATTTTTGAGTGGCTGGTTTAGGATTACTTTTTCGGTCTTTGTAAGTCATGTGGAATTTTGGTTGGAAGATGAGAAGGCCCGAAGTCAAAGAAGCAGACAGTTTCGACTGTGACCTGGGCAGAGAGGAGTTGGCACAACCTGCATCATAATGTGGCTTCAGGGTTGCCCACCGGAGGTGACTGCAGGGACACCTTTCCATGCGCGACATGGCACTACAAACACCCCGGTATAATACAACTGTTGATCAGAGCGGCCGCTCAAGACACTACGCAAGAGTTAGGGCTCCTAACTACCAGTCGGAAACAGTAACCAGAGAACTGTCAACCGTGTACCCTCAGAATGAAGAGGTAATGGACACATCATGGGAGAAACAGAGCTGCACTAATACAGATGCCAGAGAGAGAGAGAGAGAGAGAGAGAGTACCGGGAACCCCTTCCTAAACAAGAAACAAGGCGTAAGCCTCTACTCATGTCGAAGAGAAGGGGGAGGAGTGTTGACTGGGCAGTAGGAAAGCCTACCTACTCCTAGATATGTGTGAGTGGAGTCAAGCTAGCATAAGTCATTTGTATGCTGTGTACAATACTGTGTTGTGTCCAGTGCAATATTAGATTGCTGATGGTCAAAAGGCTCCCTAGAGGAGAAACAAGATGCATGTTATTTCTAAGAAAAAAAAAGATCATTTTTTTATTTACTGTATTTTCCAGTGTACAAGATGCTGTGGCTTAGAAGACACACCCTAATATTGGAAAGAAATTTCTAAGAATAAAAAAGTCATTTTCATACACAACACATTCACCATGCATTCTTCACATACTGGCGCCATGTATTGTTTACATTAATCACTCATTTGATTTTGTTTGTATGGCAATGAAATGACTTACTAGTCAAGAGCAGAAAGGCTTCTGCCTCTGCTAGTAAACAGAGCATATTTAAGCTTGTGGCTTGGCTCCAGGAAGGTTTATATTCTTGGAAAATACTTGTAACAGCTAAGTTCTCAGATTACATCATATAAGAAGCTGAATTAGATAGACAGCTAACATTATAGTGTAATGGCTCAACATACAGATCCACGTGCCTATCAGTCAAGCCAATTAAGTGACCATCTAAGCTTACTTGAGCCTGGGCATTGCCTTACATTTGTTGTAAAAGATGCACACATATTTTTCAGGAAAATAGTGCATCTTGTAAGCCGGAAAATATGGTATTTATATACTGCTTTAGCAATACTTTCTAGTGGTTATTAAAAGAAATTCTTTGGCAAACAAGTATGGTAATCCTGCAAGTATGTGCCTCACTGGGTTCATTGTGGCCTTGAGCTAAGCTTAGGGGAGAACTAATACCAACAAGGGTACTGTGGTTGTTAATTACTGCTGAAACTTAGGGCATTGTAAGCAAAGGAATTGATTTTGAAAAGAGACAAATCAAATTTACTGTAAAAATGTTTACTTACGCAGATCTTTTAGGTTGTCCGTCATCAGTTGCCAAGACAGAAAAATTGTACATAGATTTCTTTTCATAATCTAAGTTTTTGGATAATGAAATATCTCCAGTTGATGGATCAATATCAAAGGGAGTCTAAAAAAAGAAGAAAATGAATAAACTTTATTGATATTTTAATAAGCCTAGAAAATAGCAGAACTGACTGAGCTCTCTTGTCTTGAAGGAGAGTCTAGTTGAAAAAAAAAAAACTTTACAGAACCAGACTGATGAGAGTTAGCCCCCGTCAGACTATCTATATCTGCAGTATGTACGGTGCCTTCACAACTCTAATAGGTTATGGAACTTGTGACGGTAGTTATATTAACCATCTCTTAGTATCATGGATTAAATAAATACCCTATAAACTGATATACATGGAGGCAAAACAGATATCTTGGGTTGCCTGGTGTGAACTGTAGGGCTGGGGAGAGAAGACATACACGGTTTTTTACTTGTCTGGTCTGTCCATCAGGCCATAGATGAGTATGTATTTTTGTTGGCTGTTCTGGTCCATCTTACATTTTTTGAAGTGAATCTGTTTTTCAGAGGCGATCACCTAGTGGTTTGTTGTGTCTTCCAAGGAGGAGTTATTAAATCCTTCTGGGGAACATAGTGACTTGTTTTGGACCTCAACATCAAACCTAGGTGGAAAATCTTTTCAAGACAAGTGACTACTTCAGAAAAATTAATAATTTGTTAGGAAGGAAGATTACACAAACATACGTCATCTACACAAATGTAGCAAAATGGTGATTTTGAGTATTTTGAAGTCTTGGATTCATTCTCTACTTTTACCAAATTAAAGCAGTTTTTCCTTTTTCTTTCTCTTCAATTCTCCCCTATTTGACATTGACTATTGATAATTGTAATATTAGGCATTTTTATGACTCACAGTGAGTCTGCATCAATCCCATCTCTTTTGTGTTTGTGTGTTCATTCCATCTACAGAATACATGTATGCTCTTGTCTTTGACTGATGTGGACTTTCTTGTCTTGAGAACTCCTGATGATTAACAAAATCAAATGCTTCTCCAGTTTATATAAGTGATCACCCTTAAGCATCCCGCTACCACTTTCTTATAAATGTTGAATTTTGTACAGAAGTGGATCAGAGAACCTACTCAGAAAATATTTTCAGGAAATATCAGCTTCTAATTGGTCAATAAACACACAAGTGGGCATTGCAATCTACCCACTTACAAATATTTTTCCAGTCAAGTCATGTTTTCCCATCAATTTGCTGTGAGCCTGTCACGTGATTACATTATCTATAAATAGCAGACACAAGCTTGCTGCTTTTTCTTTTCTCTCTTCTCTCTCTTCTTGCTGCAAGATGTAGTCCAAAAAGGATCCTCATCTAGACCATAGACAGTCAGATGTTAAAAGCATATTCACACATGCATGTATGTACAAACTTTTCCAACCTACATTACAAACATACAGAATATTTCCAAACATGCAACAAGAACTTTTCTCTTTGAAACATTCTTCTAAAACTACAGTTTATTCATCATTTCTCAGCTTTATAATTAATTCAACTTTTGTGAATTTAGATAAAAATATCCTCAGTCTAAGAGACATAACTCCAACAGATCTTTAACTTCTATGCATGTACATCAATATACACAAATAAATACAAATGTTATGTTTTTAAAACTATTTTTGTTCCTTCTTGTATTTCATGCTTTGTGGTATTTTGCATTTAATATAAATTGTGTGGTCATGTTATTCACGCAGCCATAAACAGACATCTACAAACCATCCATTCTTATCAACATACAATAACAACCCTCTGACTGCATCACATCACAGCTTGACATTGATGCATGTAAAAATTTCCACCTTTTCCTGGATTATCTCAGCATACCTATCATCCAAAAAAGAAAAAAAAACACATGGTCCCAACCAAAAAAAATATTTTTTCAACTTTTAATCAGAAATGCCTTATAGCTTAGTATTGTAACATTAAGAACTTAAGTCTCTTGACATCCTGGGTAAGATGATAAACTACATCCAACAGCAAGGCCTCTGATCATGAGGTTTTGAGGAGCTTGGAACCACCTTTTAATTGTTGGTGTTCTCAGATCCACCCTGAACTGGGGTGGTAGGACCTGTTAGTTAACCCCCAAATTGGGGTCAAAACACTATGAAAGTGTGAAAATAGGTTTTAATAACAGCAATACAGTTTTGTAAAAAATTATTACCAGCAATACATTTTTGATGAAAAAAATATATTATCAGCAATACATTTTTGGAAAAAAAAATATTACCAGCAATATATTTTTGTAAAAAAAAATATATTAGCAGCAATATATTTTTGGAAAAAATATTAGCAGCAATAAAAATCTTGTTGGTATTAAATAACTCGGTGAGGCTGATATGCTGTATAACAAAACAGACGAAACTTAAGTCTCTTGGATCAGATTTCATCTTGGAAATTTAAGCAGATATTTTTCCTTGTCACAGAGAGATCACCTTTGAAATTTCAAAGTTAATGACTTTTCACCAAATTTGTTCTGGGGTTCAACTCTCTCAATCCATCATTGACTTCATTTTATATATTTAATTAAACTTTAATTCTCTGTTTCTTTTCTCACCTTCCTCATAATTATTTAACATATCCTTTTGGGAGTTTTCACAATTCATTTCTAATTTTTAATCATCTCAAACCACCATTTTGCTTTCTCAGGCAAATAAATGATGAACCAAGACCAGCACCCTGTTCCAACTCCACAAATTTTTTTTTCCTTAATAATTAGTGTGTGGCAAGTCAAATTTTCATGATTAGTCAAATAGTGTGTCTGAATAGCTCGGTCAAGTAAAAGGAGATTCTGGTCTTAGTCATAATAATTGTGTAAATTACAAGCAGTCTTATTTGTTTACTGAAAATAAAATGAAACTTATTTTTACATATTTGAACTTTCAAAACTTACAAATTCATTTTTAAATGCCGGTCTTTTAATTTGAATTTTCAAAATAATTTTTTGTTTCATCTTTATTTATCCCATAACATCTAAAAAGAACATGACAAAATATAACTGAAGAATTAAGAAATATATGATAGATCTATAGTATTCTAAATGTGGCATTTGAATATCTTATGATACTAATGCCATCACAATTCTCTAGAGTACTATTCATTCACTCAAGTCCTGTAGACTCCCTCATGTACTACACCTGTCTCCCCTACCCAGGAGTGGTGCTTGATTGGGGGTCTCATGGTGACCCTCACTATCTTATTGATATTTTCTTTCTTTAACTACATTTATATACATTAGATTTATATACGTTATAAACATGACAATTAAAGGATGAAAACTTTTCATGGATTTTGACGTAATTCTAGGGTTTTTTTGGATCCAAATCCTTGAATTTGTTTTGATCATATGTCTTGAAAAAAAAACTGATATGAAATTCACTATTTGTTTTTTATCCATAATGTTGAATGTGTTAAAATTATTCATTTTTTTAACAAGAAAAATCTCAAGTTATTAAAAAAACTTAAGTTGCTGCAAAACATTGTTGATTTATTTAAGATGGAATGATCTATTATGACGTGTCTCTAATTTGTATTTAGATACAATGTATTTATTTAAAATTTTTCTAGTTGAATTGTTCACTTATATTGCATAAGATACATTATTGTGCATAATTAGGTTACAAAAATATGTATTTTATATGAATACTATCATATGAAATTTGAGATGTAGTAGAGTGAAACTGGTGGGGGTTACGACTCTTCCACTGACCCTGCCACCAAGAGTATGGAGCCACAACCCTCAACATGCTAGGTTGCTGCTACTGTAGTTTCCAAAGCAAGGATTTTACTGGATAGAGTCACTAGCCGTATGTCCAACTGGTTTTAAATTCAGAGTTGTTTTTCTCCTTGACTGGTTTCCAAATACAGCCAGGCATGAGCCCAGTTTGCCCTACTAGATAAGGGATACAGAAATGGATTCATACCTTTTCCAAAGATATTTGCATGAAAGGGAATGTAAGCACTTGAATTTGAAGTTGGCTCTCTAATTTCTCGTTCTGATTTGCTGACCATTAAACCATCTGCAGCTCCTGACAGTTCTAACAAAGGGTTAAATTAAATGTAACTTTCTTACTGGCTTAAACAAGAAACATTGACAATACTTACATGATCTCCTGCTAAGGAATAAATGATGTTGTCGTTGTCTATATCAGTGGCCGAAATTTGAAAAAGTGCCTGTTTTAGGGGTGCTGTCTCGTTTACTTGAAACAGATAGACATCTAGGAAGCAGAAAGAAATGGAAACTTTTTATTTTGATGCCATTTATGAGGTGAGAATTATGTAGGGATCTGCCATTCTTGAATGTGTGTGGACAGTGTATGCGTGCGGATATGAATGCATGTATGAGTGCATGTAGGCATGTGTATATGAGTGTATGTATGACTGTGTAGGTAAGTGTGTATAAGAGCATGTATGACTGTAGCTGTGAATGTATGTGCATATATGAGTGTGTAGGTGTGCATGTATGAGTACATATATGGGTGTGTATGAGTGCATATATGACTGCAGGCATGCATGTATAAGTGTATGTATGACTGTGTAGGTATATGTGTATGAGAGCATGTATGACTGTAGCTGTGAATGTATGAGTGCATGTATGAGTGTGTAGGTGTGCATGTATGAATACATGTATGGGTGTATATAAGTGCATATATGACTGTAGGCATGTGTTTATCAGTGCATGTATGAGTGTATATATAATTGTAGGCATGCATGTATGAGCGTATGTATGACTGTGTAGGTATGTGTGTGTGTACGACTGTGTGTAGGCATGATTGAGTGTGTGTATGTATATGGAGTGGGAAGAACATGTCACGATTCATTTGCAAGTAATGAATAGATTATAACCTTTTTCTGTTTAATATCAGTAGATACAGAAAAGAGTGTTGAACTGTCATGTAATCACAATCTCCCTCCATGACAATGAATATTTGACAATTTCATAAAAAAAGTGAGAGAAATGTGGTTCTACAGTGGTTTCTGGGAATATGATGTATGGAAAATGTGAACACCAAAGGAAGTTTTTAGGAGAAAAGACACTTGACAGTTGAACATAATGAGGAAAGAAGGCTTGGAAAATTTGACACTCACAGGGGATATTGAAGGCAAGAGGGACAGAAGGAAGCAGCAAGCAACCTTACT